GATGCTTCTAGCTAAAAGAATTGAGACTGGCCATCAGAACTGTCAAAAAGCATTCTCTTAAAATTTGAGCTTTCCAGCTTTTCCGGTTCCCGAGTTAGCAGCTTATCCGCCACAAACTTTGACGGAACCACACCTGAATACCATGCGGGACCTTTTTGAGGATGAAGACCCGCGCGCGCATGTAGGTTAATTTTCCAAAGTTTCAGCCCTGTAGCTTTTGTAGGTCTCGAGATGAAAAATCAGTACAGACGAATACACGGACAACCCCTCAACCATCTGCATTTTTGCATTGCATAGATGCAAAAAAAGCGCATAAAAACACATTTATCAACCAGGCGTCATTTAAATGATGTACTATATTCCGTATCATTTCACTTTACCTGCAGCTGCCCCCCCCCCTTTTCTAAATTTAAAACATTTCCTACAAAATACCAAAACTCCCCCTTTCCCCCTACTTCCCATCTATGCCCCATTAGATTAAAATCCCTTTTTTTAACTTTTACTTACTAATAATCATTTCTCCACAAGCAAAATTCGATGCATTCCAATCCCTTTCATGAGGCGTAATGCATAATATGCATAGTAAAGTAAATTTTCATACTTTTCAGCCAATTTTCAACACTTAATGTACGGATATCTGGATAGCTCAGTGGGTACCACATAAGATTAAGATTAAAATGAGACTAAGATTAAAATAAGATCTTACAAAAGATTAAAATAAGATTTCACATAAGATTAGAATAAGATTTCTTGTTAACTAAAGAAACCTACCCCGTTACACGACGTCTCAACATCATCCGCTGCTGGTTCTTCCTTCACACTCCAATCCATCTGACTGATACTTTCCGAATCAGAAGTTTGCACATCAGATTTCTCCGGCTCCACCACTTTTTTGCCTCGTTTTACTTCACCAGAATCTGAAAAAAAAAAGCAAATCACATATGAAAATTCAGTGGAATTTATGGGAAACGTAAAAAACAAGCAAACACTCTTTTTAAGGAAGTTCCAAAAACATCCGAAATCGAAGAAAAAAAAAAAATTCAAAGAAAACTCAAGAGGTACAACATTCACAAAAAAGCTGCAGTATTTTATGAAAAAAAAACCAGTGAAGGGGGAAATGGACAGTCTCTAGCAAGGCTGCCGAAGAATTTTTCGTTCAAGGATTGCTTACAAGCAAGTTCCTGGCCAACGCCAGTACCAATTTATCATCGTAGCGAATGAATGAGCCGTAAAAAGGGCGATTTATCGCACAATAGTACTAATTTTTTTCGGGAAATGCCTCAAAACTACACAAATAAACAAGTGTTTTAGAAATTTTAAAAATGCAAACACTGAATATCTCTGGCTAGGGGAATGGAAGAAAGACCGGGGGTCTGAAGCCGCAATTTGTTTGGCATTGTCGGCACGCCGTTGAGAGGAAAGCGATCGAATATTGGCAGTTGTGAGAAAGCAGGAAGTGCCAATTACAGATCTTCCAGATAAGCGAGCCTGTATTTGTACACTGAACTGTTTGAACAACTCACCTTCCTCGCTATGGCGTCTTTTTCGTTTATTTTTTCCTTCAGCCGGTACTGCACTGTTATCCGTTTTCTTCTTTTTCTCGGGCACTTCGGAATGTTTCTCTTTCGTTTCTGTAGCCAGGGGTATTTCGGTAACACTGCTTTTACTCGTTTCCGATTCCCTGCTTTCTGCTCGCTGTTTTCCACCTTTCCTCTTCACTTCCCTTGACTCCTCTGCCAGCTTCTCTTGTTTTTCCTGTAAAAAAAAAAAAAGAGAAATAAGCATAATGCAATCGGCAAGTGAGGGAAATACTTTTAAAACTCTCCGAATCCAAAAATTCCACCATACTTGCTCAATCACGAGTAGATATGCTTTTATACAGAAAATCGCTCATAATTCTTTCAGGAGAATTCGACGATCAGATACTAGGTACGTTAGCAGCACTACAAATTACAGACCGATTCTAATACAAATATGTTCTTCATCCGCCGAAGAAAAAATCCAAAACTCTTCAAAGATTACCTTTTGTTCTTTCCGCAATTTTTTGGCTAATTTCTCCATTTGCTCATCTGATCCAAGCTTTGTTGCAGTTCTTTTCTGCTCCGAACTGGCCGTCGAAGTCTTCATTTTTGGTGTCTTTTTCACGTCATCTTTGAAAATCGAAATTTCAACCAACGTTTTTTCCTGAAACAAATATCATAGTTGATTTTCTTTTCAAATGCTTAAAAATAACGAAAATTTTGAAATCAGACTGTCCCATGTGTGAATTTTTTTCTCATTTCGGGAACGGCAAAATCAGATTTTTAAAAAACCTGAACAACCAAACGCACATAAAATTTCAGCTAAGCAAAAGGGGATCCTCGTGATGTAGGAAGTGGCAATGGACGAAGCACGATTTAAATGCGGCGGCGTTCAAAAAATGGTGGCATTAAGGGTGTCAAAAAAGTAGTATGATACATTTTATCCCTCTGTGTTTGGATAAAGTCAGTGTCGTGAACGCACCCCTTTCTCAAAAGTACTCCTGGACCGGACGGGAATCGAACCATTCCCCTTCGTGTGTGGACGAGACATGTTACCACTACACCATCCTGATCCTTGCACTCCAAGTTCAGTATGGCAGCACATCTACTGTGTATCCTCCTTTCAAGGCAAGATGCACCCATTTTCTCTTTTTCTATGTGGCGGCTTCCTGGCCGGCTTTCCGCAGACTTTCTGAGACAGTCAGTATGACCATCGTTCGGTAATGCAGAAACGCTAAAATATCTGTGCATAGCACGCAAAAACACAAAGCTTGGGAACCAAACATTACGAATTACGATAGGTTAAAGTATTCGCGAGTAAAATATATTAAGAGTAAAAAAAAATCACACAAAAAAACCTACTGTCTTTTGTTTTTTCTTCTCTGGCATTCCTGTTACTGTGGCACTCGTAGAAGCACCAGCTGTAGGAGTGGCACTGATAGACGTGGCGGTAGTAATAGTAGATCCGGTTCCATCTGATTCATCATTCTTTTTGGTACGCTTTTTGCCGGGAAACCTTTTCTCGAGTTTTTCTTGCAAATTCTCGCTTTTCTGCTTCGTTTTTTCCGATTTTTGCGCCAAGGATTTGTGTGAAACCGCTGATGTTGCTGTCTGCAAGCAATTCTCAAATAAGACATGTCTCAGGCTAAGTGCCAACAACAAGATGGACAGACGGAAAAAAGCTTTCCCTCTAAGATTTGTTCATTCGTTTCGATAGCACTGGTACCGGTAGTAAAATCCGCCATTCTTTTACCTACAAGAACTCTTAGAAGGAGCCATTAGCATCTTTGGCATCTGTTGCCATCTGGAGTAGTTTTTTTTTCAAGGATTCTATGTTTTTCATAAAGCGAAAATAAGGAGGGGATCTAGTCTACTTTAAATTAAATTAACGATTTTTTAAAATAAATCATATGTCCCCAATCAAACTGCAACTACAATTACTTAATCTTCTCAGAAACAAACTTCTTCCAAACATTTCTTTTTTTTTTTAAACAAAAAGGCGTTTTATTCAACAAAACAAAAATTTTTAACATTCATAAGCCATCATACATACTGCAATATATTCATGCTATATCTCTTTCCTTGTTTTGCTTCAATTCTTCCCTTCTTTCAAAAAAATACGGAAAAAAACTTCAAAAAAAAAAACGCGAATTTACAGAATGCATACCTCTTTTTTGCGATCGATGCCAGACAGTTCTTCTTCGTCGTTTCCATTCACTTTTTCTTTTCGCTTCTCTTTTTTGCAGGCAGAATTCTTATCGGTTGTTTTTTCTTTAAAACTGGTATTAGTATCGGTGGCTTTCTTTGCTCTTCTCTTGCCAGTGCTGCTTTCCTCGTCCTTTTCATCTTTTTCTTTATACAACGATGGTACGATGGAGCAACGTGACATCGAATGCTTCGTGGATTCGTCATCCGTTGAGTAGGCCCCAAATACGTCATCCATTGAGAGCAACGAAACTTTCTTTTTCTACAAAACAACAAATTTCCGGTACAATAGAAAAACTGATTCAAAAATCCTCCTCCGTGCGCACTCTCATATGCGAGGTGGAAAAAAAAGACATTCAGACGTAATCTGAACGGTAACAGATGCCAACAGCAACCACCAGAAGGTAAGGCTCCTTCGTTCTACGAGAAATTATTAAGAACAAGTTGATGGTGATTTCAGCCCCCTCTAGTACCACTCAGAAATTAAGTCATTTTTAAAGGCACTCAAAAAGGCAGTTGTTAAAACCCGATTTTGACCAGACTTTTTCCGATGACTTTTGAAATTATGCGCCCTTTCGGCTCCATTTCCTCCTCAAATATAAATTTTGCACCCCTCCAGTAAAAATTTAACATATTTCCTCAGGTGATTTTCAAACCTTAGCATAATTTTTCACACGTTTTCTCCTCATACTGACAATTCCAGTTGGTGCGCCAGAACACAAAACGGTCACCCTATCCCGCTTTCTCCCTCCTAAAAATCTACACTGAACCTCCTTCAACCCTCCCCCTCCACCTCCCCCCGCCCCCTACCCCGCTCCTCTGAACCTTCACATACTTCAGTTTTCGAAATTCCCCTTATGCGCCATAATGAATAGGCCATGGATACAAATAAAAAGATCTTGGTATACATATTTCACAAAAGCTTTAAATTCTGGCTACGTTACCAAGGAAATCTGCTCCAGAAACACTGGAAATTCAACAAATACCTCTTTTTTCGATGATTTCCGAGTTGACTTCCGAGTGCGTCTACCTTTCGCTTGTTTCGCATCGTCCTCCGAATTCGAACTTTCTGATTCCTTGAAAAAAAAAGGGATTTTCAGCCTAAGAAAAACTCAAATTAAACATTTTAATCCCTCTTTTCCTTTCCTCTCCTCCTCATTCCCCCTCCAGCCGCCCCCACCACCAACCATAATCCAGTCATTCTTCTGTTACGACCCCTGCAACCTAAACCAGTATCTTTTGTCATATCACTATTACTGCAACGCACTCCTCCAACTTAACCGCGTCGGCCCGAGTTCTCGTAACTTTCAAAAATAATAGTAAAATAGCAATAAAAGTCGTAACAGTAAAAAAAAAAGATTACCTCATCCTCATCACTTTCTTCTGATTCCGTTTCATCCTCACTTATCAGAGTTCTTTTTCGCGCCACTGTTTTAGTTTTCTTCATCGTCGCGGTCGGTGTCATCGAAGATGCCTTTCCTTTATGCTCGGCCTTCTTTTTTGTGGTGCTACGAGACGTAGTGGCAACTGTGGAAGATTCCGTCGATTCGCATGCATCCTCCTCTTCAACTGTCGAATCTTTGTCCTCTTCGGATGACGATGAACTTTCCAGCTGCACCCTTTTTGGCTTTTTCTAAAAAAACCGAAATAACAGGTGACAATCAAAAACAGTAAAATCGCGTGTGTGTGAATTTATTATGCAGTTGATCTGGTCAAGTGGCAAGAATGAGAGATAACAGATGAGCGAAAGGTGTAATGAAATAGTACCCAGATTCGTCGTGCTTCGTTTCGCAAGGCATAAGGGAGGCGGGGAGGGGGGAGGGGGACAGCAGCCGAGGGGGGAGAGGGGAGAGAACTAAATTTTTGGTCAAAAACGCATACCTAATAAAAATCATAACTTTTCCTCAATACTTTTCCCTCAAAATTCCTCTTGTATATGCTCTGTCTGAACAGCAAATGTATCGCATTTCTTTTTCTGAAGATTGCTCCAGGACCCCGCTGAAGATGCTCAAATCCCTCGGACAGGACCTCCAAAACAGATAAAAAATTGGCTAACGCACGGGCTGCCCGTGCGAAGATGCGTTTTTTGCATGGTTCCCCGTAGTTT